TTTTTATCATTCCAAAGAAATGTGCTTGCCTGGATTCAGCTCTGAACTGTACCAGTTTGTATCATCAAATCTGACTGGATGCAAAAAACAATAGATAAAGTTTGCTCAAAAATGTGTGGAATGGCCAGGTGGAATGGTCAAAAAACTGAAAGTGCTAAAACAGAGAAAAGAATGTCCCTATCAGCAAGTTTTGCCAGCTGGGCTTCATGACTGCTTTAGCCATAATAAATGCATGTCTCTTGCAAGGAGAATCCAACTATGCCAGAGAGAGATTAGCTGGTTTAAGGAAGTATATTTTCTCATTTCCTGCAACAGGTGGCCCTGTAGTTTCAAATCCCCTCCCCCCACCTGCCCACCATTGTTCTATACTCTAGAAACTAATAATATTTCCTAAACTTTCATGCAACTCTTCTCAGCATTCGTGGCCCATATAGCTCAATGAATTAAGGGGACAATTTTAACACGCATAAGAAATGCATATCAATTTGATGCCTGGTGAACAGGAAATCTATTTTTTCTCTGATAGAAAACATATTTTTTTCTTCTTCTCAGCATTCACAGTCAGGTAGATTCTGGATGGGATTACTGAGCACATTTTTCATACTTAAGCACAATTCCAAATATGCCATTACTAAGGCTCAATTAAATACAATACTTTTATAAACTGGGATTGGATCAGATTTGCTGCTGCAGTCTAATAGCCTCATGCTATCCTGGTAGAGCAGAGCTAGCTGTGTAAGCAGCCAGAACTCCTTAGGACGGAGAAAATGCTCAGGTGAACCGTATACCACTTCAACATGAGGGGTGGATGCATTAGGGTTAAAAAAAATGGAAGGTGGGGGTTGGACAGAGACTGATGCTGGCTATTTTTTAGTTGGCAGAGGGCCTATAACGGGGCCCCTTCTTGTTGATCAGGAGTGAGTGGTGGGCAGAGCAGCAGGGAGGCGAAAACTGCAGTGTAAGATATGGTGTCGTTTTTGCCTCCCAGTTGGTGAGCAGCAAATAGGAGGGCCAACTGGGCCCCTCAGCCAATCAGCAATGGGGGGGAGAGGGGAGGGAGGGGAATGTGTGGAGGAACCTGCAAAATTAAACAAGTTGTGTGCCTCCCACTTCTTGCCATAAATTTGGTAGGTCCCTACACATTAATTAGAGCAGGGGTGCGTAACCTCTGGCCCATGGACCAAATGCAACCCATGGAGGCATCACATCTGACCCACAGGGCTCCCCACATGTCAGGGAATTTGGTGGTAGGGGAGCAGTGGACATTAATATGGCCACACAACCCCTGCCAAATTCCTAAACCTCAAGCCCTGCATCCCTAGTCAGAGACAGGGTGCGCCTCCCTTCCCACCATGGCAATGAATTAGGGCCAGGTTACGCCCCTCTCCCCACCACCCCAAGATTGGGCGATGCCCCCTTTCCTGTGGGGCTGGGTTGGGGCAAAGCCATGCCCCTTTTCTCCTGTAGAGCTGGGACACTCCCCTTTCCCATGAGGCCAGGTTGAGGCTTGGCCACACACCCCTTCCACCATGGGGTCAGGTCAAACCCCTTCTGACCCATGGGGCTGGGCTCAGGCCAGGCAGCCCCCCACCCCCCTCCAGTCGATGATCAGACAAGGCAGTGCTCACCCAGCCCAATGTGGAAAAAGGTTTAGCACCACTGAATTAGAGCAGCACTCAAGAAGTTCTAAATCTCTGGTGCTCAACCTTTTTGGCCCACAAGCCAGATAAGCAGTGTCAGATCCATCTGCTGGCCAGATTCAGTCCATGGGCCTGATCCAACGCATGGTGCTGAGCCAGTGGTGGCCCAATCCTTTGCAGCTACATCAGTCCTAGCTGGGCTATTCCTCCGTGTATGCATTGGGCCCTGGCTCAATCCAGATGCATGGGTATGAGGCTGGATCCCTCTGCATTGAGCCAGCTCAGCTAGAGCCAATCCAGCTGTCTGGGGGCTTGGAAATTTGGTGGCAGGGAAGCAGTGGCAGTGTTAATTGCCACCACTCCCCCACCACCAAATTTCTGGACTTACGAGATGACCCGCAGGCTGGATCTGACCTTCTGCTCTAAACTAATACCAGGGGCAAAGCTGAACTTACTGCAAAATCAAAGAGCTTTAGTTTTTTCTTTATGCTTTCTGACTCTCTGTATATATAGAAAATCTGACTCCCTCTCTCTCTATATATATATAGATGTTCAAACTTGGAGACTGCAAAACATTTTGAGATCGTCAGCATGTAAGGGGCTGTATAAAGAACAAAATATTTATGAGTAGCTAGTAGCTACATATGGCTAGTGTGCGACAGTGTTAACAGCTGTCAAGTTGTACACTAGATATCCAAACACTCTTGAGCTAATATTCAGCGCAAAGGCATGACAGTAGTGGCAATTATACAGCAATACTTTGGCATTGCTTCTAACACGTAAATTAAAAATACCTTTAAATGTACAAAGTTAGAGTAGGATTCATTAATAATGATGTCTTTTATTCATAAAATTACTCTTCTACTGTACCAACATACTGCACTTTGGGTAAACTTCCATAAGTTAGCACACCCTCAGCCATTCTTTTACAGTCACCAATAAACATTTAGTAAACACATATAAAAATGAACAGTTTACATCCTACACTTGTTTTTTTTTTCCATTCCAGGACAAAACAAGGAGCAAATTAAGTTTCTGGGGCACTGTAAGCTAGGTAGTATTAAAATGAGTGGTGAAAGATAGTATGGTTGTTGAGGGACTGACTGGATTTGATTTTTAAAGTCTAGAATTGTGGCAAAGGAAGTTTCAAGTCAGTTCTGGGTGGAAGCTGGGCTTCACTAAAACAGGACTTTCAGTTTTAACTATTGTTCTCAGGTCCTGTGGCTCTGATTACATTTGGAGTTGCAATATTAAGCCATGTTTTGGTCTTAGCTATATCTTAGTTCCTCCTTAAGCTTTTCCTACTCTTTTCACCAGCTTATTTGTGTGTTTGCAAAAGCAATGACAGTAGCGGCAGTATACCTCAGGCAAATGAACCAACATGTCTATCAATATTTGGGTAACTGGCTTGTACAGGGATCACTAGAACAATATGCCCTACAGTAACTGAAGGCACAGCTTACATTTAGCCAACCTAGGATTCACTGTGCATTACTGAAAGTGTTGAGTAAATTCAGCACTACAGTATATGTACACACTAAGACTAGAAGTGTCTGAAATATTTTTGACTGAATAGGGTTTTTTCAGAGCCAAAACATTTAGTGGGAGATACTTCATTTATTTTTGCTGAAATCTTCATTAGGAAGCCTTTTTGCATCTATGGTTCTCTAGCCCAGTTGTTCTCAACCTTTTTTGTACCAGAACCCATTTGTAAATATCAACAGCCAGTCCCAACATAGTGCCCCTCACTCCCAACTCGCTGCCTGCTGCCCCCAGACCCCAGTGTGTGGGGCAGGGGGTGGGTGTGCAGGGTAGGGTGAGGTATGCCTGGGGCAGGGGGGACCCCAAGCAGCCCCTTGCAGGCTGGAACTCTGCCATCCTGCAAGGGAAAAGCCAGTTTCCCAAGTTTTTCTCTTTTAAAGGAGAATCCACATTTTAAAAGTTTATTCGGAATCCTTTCATATATTCTTGAGACCTACTTTTGCATCGCAACCCATAGGTTGAGAAATGCCACTCTAGCCCAATGTGAACAGCTAAAGAGAGTGTTATATTCTACAACCTTCTGGATAGAGTGCTCACAAGAGACATGGAAGAACCATGTTCAAGGACCTGCTCTGCCTGATTCAGAGCTAAGTTTTTCATCCCAGATTACTCTGGGTCAGATAGAGAAAGACACAAATCTGAGTCTCTAACAGGCCATCCCAGTGACGTAACCACCAGGCTACCGAGTGTGAAGCAAAGTAGAGAGTCTCTCTCTTTGCACCCCTCAAAACCAGAAATTAAATCATATGAAAACATTTGAAAGATTTTATTTTCATTTTTATTTCAAATGAAGAGAACCAAATGCCAGATCCTAAAAATATGCTGTATTGTTATCCACCAGACACCTCTCAGTTAAGAGACATTCCTGGAAACATCTAGAAAAGTTGTTGCCCACATCACTCCACTTGCAAAACCCCGCAAGAAAACGTAGAAGAGTTCAAAGCATAGCTATTCTGTCAGGTTCATTTATGGTATGTTACTGAAGGCTATGGACAAACATTAATAGTATTTGGAACCAGTACTCTCCAGTACTATTCAATTATTCGTACTGTAAAAATGGTAGTTCAGTTGGGAGTTTCAGTTAAAAAGCAGGAACTGTCATCAGTAAGACCAGAGAAGATCAATGGAAAAATTCCATTAAATAGACCTTCTCCTCATCTTCCTTAAAATACACACTCCTGACAAATGTCTTCCTATAAGGCTATCTATATAATCTGTAAAATCTGTCTTTATTACAATGTAACCACATCACTTTTCTCCTGCTCACAGAATGAAAGCCACGGAAAAAACGCTTCAGGGAATTCCAGCTTCTTAAAGCAAACTTGTCAGTTTTAATTACAGTATGGTGGCTCTATAATACATAAATAATCAGACAGCAACCAAAACTAGACCTGTTCTGATGTTGACAATTTCCATGCGATAATCCACAGGGGAATACACACAGTACATTCAAACTGATATATTCTGTAGACATATGTTATATGTGACAATGATGGTCATCTAAAAACACTTTAGAAAGATAACTAATGATAGACAGTTCCCAAAACAAAGCATTTTATCATGTCTGTGCTTGAGAGAGAACCAAATTCATTTTTATCAGAGTATAGCTATAAGATACATATACATGACATAAATATATACTTTATACACATATAACAGTTCATGCAAATCTGTGAATACTATTTGGGTAATGATGTGACATATACCACACAGATTCCATTATGAGCTTTTCTCATGACCGTATTTGGGTCATTCTTGTTAATATTTTCTTTTCCTAAACTAAACACTGCATATTTGGAGAATGTGGAAGCATCTTACCTTGCTTCCATTTTCTCTTGCCTCTTGTTCCATCTTGAGGTCAGAAATTAGGAGGTTCTTGTATTTATTCTTTCCATTACTGTTGTGATCATCTAGTCTGTATTCTGAAGTCAGCTGAGCAGAGAGGGGACTATCACTCAGGTTCAGAGGCTGCTCATCCTGCTCCAGATTTGTTTTGCCATTACTGTTGGTTTCTGCCATCTCCCTGCAGTGTGTTCCTTCTGAAGCATTGGAACTGTGTCCCACGGTCTCATTACCATTAAAACTCTCTGCAGCTGAATCATCTATTAAAAAAATATATTTTTTCAGTAACATGCCACCATTGTTATCTTGTACCAGATCAAACAAAATTTATACATTTTTCAATAGCAAAATTAAAATGTTTTAAAAGATTACTAGCCCCAAATATGTTTTTGCAACACGCAAATAAAAATGTTCAAGACAGATTGGGGCAAAATATGATAAAATGACAGTCTAAGTTATGGTAAAAATTAAAGGTTGACAAAGTTATGGATAAAGTTAAAGGCTCATGTCCTAATGCAATTGTGAGCACCCCCCAAAAAAACAAACAAACAAACCCCAAAAACCCCAAAACCCCAAAAGACCCAACAGTATGTCATATTCGAATTTTTTGGCACAAATTTTATTCTTATCCATCTGTCAGTCCATATGTCCATCCATCCAAGTCCATCACTAGCATCACATATTTTTTAAACCAATGCAGTTGCATGTGGTGCTGCAGCAGAATCTGACTCAGTTCTGAAGGATGTGGAAAATGTACAATAAACCAGATGTTTAAAAGCAACGTAAAAATTAACCCAGGTTTAAAAAAACCTGTCAATTATAAAAAATTCTTAGTGCCCTGCCATCAGTTAATCTGGTGCATTCATTGCTAGCATTGGAAATTATTCTGGGAAAGCTGAATTCTGAGACCAAAGATTCTTTCCTTGTTCTCAAATTATATATGTGAAAATCAAAATTGAAGTAATAAAAAATACTGGTTAATAAAAGATTATGCAGACACCTTCAAATTCAAAGTCATCTTTTAACCTGAAAATTTGGTATGCTCTGTTGAAAAAATTAGCCCCTGAGATTAGTATAACTGAAGATTGAACTGAAAATGTAAGTATATTTTTCCTCTTCTTTCAGTATTTTCACACTGGAATTTTAACTGAGTAGTGCCTTTCTCTACACACAGCCCCACTGAAATCAACTTAGTTATTTGCATATTGCTGTATTTCTCAATACAGGAAAACGTGGAAGAATCTGGTCCTCCATTTGCTTATTTGGTGCCTGCAGCAGTTTTTGGTTAGTCTTTTTCACTAGTTTGAGAATGATTCATACTCTTCTCCAGGCTGTACAAGTCTCGGTTTACCAGGAAAGCAAAGTTGAAACTGAAACTGAAAAACCTGAAGCCAAGAGCAAGTATAGGTTTGCACTGAAAGTGCAAAAGTGAATGGATCAGAGCATGTGTCACCTAATAGTTACTAGATCTTCTAAACACTAACTGGAGAACAGAAAAATCCCCCTTTCCCATACATACGGTACCATATTTACTTGAATCCAAGACAAGGTGTTTCCATAATTCAACATGAGGGGAAAAAAGCACCTCATCTTGGCTTTGAGTACAAATCCCTCAGGCTCGGGGTCAGAGACGGAGCTGCAGCCTCTGCTCTCCTGCCAGATCCTGGTGCTGCCTCTGCCTACTGCTTCCTTCACACCACACTCCACATAGTTTCCACCATGACTCCAGGTGTGGCTCCAACTCTAGCCCAAGGCATGGAGCCCCCACCTGGTCATGCAGCAGTGGCAGCAGCTCTGGCCCTTGCCGTAGCTCTAAACTGGGGCCAGGGCCAGAGCTCCCCTGCAACTACTGCTGCCTAGCTAGGTTGGGGCCAAAGTAACTATGTTCTCTGTGTCCTGGGCCAGAGAAAAGCTGGATCCAGAGCCTCATTAAAGGCTAAGTGGCAGCAGAGGGTGGGGCAGCCAGTGGTGGGGGGGCAGCCTTTTGAGTGGGTAGTTTGGTGGGGAATAGATGCAGGAGGGGCAAGCAAAAGTGGGACAAGTGCTTGGGGGTGCAGGCAACACAAGGAGGGGCTGGGCATGCAGGGGCAGGGGGAAGGCAGCAAGGGCGACCAGTGGTGGGGGGGAAAGGCAGCATGGGGCAGGCCACTTAACTCGCTCACTGTCTACCCCCCTGCTGCTGCTTCTTCTTCTGCAGCAGTGGGGAAGATGAATTTAAGATGATCTTCCAATTATTAGATTATATTAATGAAAAATATAATACTTTTATCAACTTTCCATGTACAGAATCTAATTTTTTGAGGGTCATCTTAAATTCAAAGTTGTTTTGGATTCCAGTAAACAATGTATTTCACATATGCATGAGCATGTGTAAAATGGAATTTTTTTGATATTCAGGACATTTTTTAAAGCATGCATTATCAGACAATGTCTCTTTGTCATTGGTTTAATGGTTACCTAACTTCCTTCTACCTCCAGATCAAGGATATAAAAGAATTAAAAAAATATGCTGTATAAGACGAAAGTAACCAGATATAATTAAGCAATCCAATATTTAGAGAGGAATATGAAGATTTCAGAATCATATACCTGAAACCAATATATATCCCTGCCCTGATTTCTGTACTTATCCAATACAGCTTCTTGTTTGAATAAAGCAAGTAGGATGTGGCTCATGTTCTGCATATACAAATTTATTTTATGATTCCTGAAAGATCTATAAGCTCATGGACACAAACAATAGTGATAATTTTTTTTTAATGCTTTACATTAAGATACTTAATGGAATACTTTATTAGCAACAGCTGCTAATGTGTTAGTTTCTAAAACACATCATCACTTTCCTCATAAATGAACATATAAAACTACTAAATAGGTACATAATCTCTTTTAGGCTCCAATTCAACTTATTGTACGTACATTGGAATCACTTTTAAAGTAATATTTCAGCCAAATCCAAGGCATCAATGGAACCAATACAATAAGCAAGGCAAGGTCTACATTTATTGAAAGGAACACGCTATATCTGACAGCCTTTGGTTGGACATGTGCCTACTGTGCAGAAATAAATATTTTAAACATTTCAAAATGCAACTCTAGAAATAGGCAGTTTCATTACATTATGAAAAAAGAAATCCATATGTCACCTTGTAGCACAGGGGTGGGCAATTATTTTGAGCAGAGGGCTGCTTACTGAGTTTTGGCAAGCCATCAAGAGCCGCATGACAGGCAGCCAAGGACAGATAAATATTAATTTTCTAAATTTTTTAGGGGCCCTACAGGCCAGATAGAATGGCCTGGCGGGTAACATTTTGTCCACCCCTGTTCTAGCACAATACCCTCTCCAGGATGCATATTGTTCTCAGTAAATAGTTATATTTACAACTCTTTCCAAAAAACGCCTTATAGTAAAGCATAAGAAAGAAATATTCAGCAATTACTTTAAGGAAAGTACAAATGCAATAAACAGAGAATTTAACATATATATTTGATATTTTTACAAAAAGAGACTACAAAAGGAATAGTAGACATTTCTGTGCCGTTTTCTTTTTAAAATTCCTCTGGTTAAAAAATGTGTTCAAATGCTTTGCAACTTTTAAACAGAAGGTCAAGTGACATCAACATAACCTGGACTGCCCTTAAATAGTAATTCAGTTACTGAATGGTAAACCTCTGTTTCTACTGTAAAGTCAAACACAACAAATATAACAACACTCTTTCCACCTTTCTCACTAGGAGTAAAAACTATCCTCTATCAGAAAAATATTCAGAAACTGTAGCAGCCTGCAAATGTGTGCGTGTGTGGGGGGGGTGGGGAACAGGGCACTTTAAACTTTGCATGCTCCTGCACTGAGCTCACAGTGTGCTCAGAAGAGGCAGCGCGTTAGCTGCACCTGACTTTCCCAACATTTGTAGCGATCCAGCACTTTAGTGAGGCTTTTTTTAGTGCTTTTATCTAATTTGGCACTAATTATCTATTCAATTATTGATTGAATCAGCTTTAGCGAAAAACACTAAAAAGCTCCACTGAAACACCTGATCTATACAGATGTTGAGGAGCTGGGTTGAAATAACGCACTGCTGCTTCCAGTGGAGTGCATTTTTTTCCATGTCTGACAGCATCTTGTAAGCTCACTTTTGTGAAGTAAAAGATGTATTACCAAAAGGCAGTCAGAAAAATACTGTATTTTAGTACTGATTTCTGCTTATAGATGTTACCACAGTAACTAAATTTCACCTCTTAGCACATTTCATTCTTGATTTACTTTGCAGAGAATAAAATAACAGTTTACAGCTGTTTTGTAACTGAAATTACAAGGCTTCCAGACCCTTACTCAAGCAAGTAGGGCTTTCTCATATAAATATCCATTTGACTTCAGAAGACTGTCATGGAGCCTGACCTAAAAGATGAAGCATACTTCCATAGTCTCTACTGCCATGGTCCTGATAACTTCCTTTTCTTTTCCTGTCTGTTGTGCTGTGCTTTGTGCCCTCAGGGTGGTTCACCATGTGCTTAGATCTAGAGTTTGTGACTGTACCTGGCCAACATACAGGAGGACGGAGAAGCAGACAACTTGCACTCTGTGTCTTGGCTGTTCCAAGAAAAGCCTGTCACAATCTAGTCCTTAAATTATAAGACCTCTCTGGAAATGAAAATGTATCTTCTTTTATTTTTGAAGCATCCAGATTAAGGTTCCTTCCACATAAAGCATGGTCAAGGTAATTTTAATAGTTTTACTGGCATGTTTTTCTAATGCTTATGTATCATAACCCCATAGCAGCAATAGACTGACATGGAAAATCTGTTTTCTTACCAAATATTTTCCCTCCATCATCCAGAGACACTGGTTTGTTACCGAACAGTTCATAACAAGTTCAGAAACAGAGATATACATTGGGTCCTAATATGTATATATGTGGGCCTGACACATCTTGTGCACATGGACAATTAGGTTTCAAATGCACTCATGCTGCTATCTGTGAATATTTCTACTGGACCGCTTACAGTGATTTATTTTTAGAAATACACAGCACTGAAGCTTTTCTACAAGGAGAAAAAAAGAAGCTGAAAAAATATGATCATCCAGGGCCCTTAGCAACATAGAGAACATGGGTTGTTGTAGCAACCAACAGGAAGAATGTGCTCACTCGCGTGCTCGCTCATAGATGATGATGTCAGGATGGCAGTTGAGTTTTTGGTTTGTGCTATGACTTAGTAACTTCTTTGACAATCTGTCCCTGTTGGGTCCACCCCTGTGTG